TGTGTTCAGCCCGAGGGAGTACGTTTGTTGCTAGTCATTAGGGCGTGAATGATGTGCTTGCAGTTGCGTTGGTTTAGGTTGGGGCGTGTCTGAACTGGTGTTGCACCATGTGCAGGCAGGCAGGTGTCGGGAGGCGTGAGCGGCTGTTGGCTGTGCATCTGGGCGTGTGGTCTAGCCCGAGGGAGTACGTTTGCTACGGGAGATGGGAGTGCGCACGATAGATGGGTCTGGTTGTCGCTGCGTTTGAGGGCTTGTCAGCTAGGCACGTATTTGTGGTGCAGCATGGGCGCGGGTCGAGACATGCGGTGAGCGTGTTTCGCATGTGGACGTGGCCGTGTACAGGAGGCACAGAAAGTGGGTTCGGGTGTTGCGATTGCCGTCGCCACTGCTCTGCGGGTTGTAGAGGTAGTCGACCTGCAGACAGCCAGATGTGGAGAGGCGTTGTAGCATTACGCTGTTCTAGGTGAGGGCGTGCCTGAACTTGTGTTGTAGCATTTGGACGCATGAAGGTGTCGGGGAGGTTGAGCGTGTGTTGGATGTGCGGCTGGGTGGGTGGTTCAGCCCAAGGGAGTACGTTTGGTAGGGGGGATGAGAATGCGCAGACTGCTGCTTGTTGTTGAGGTGTTTGAGGTCCAGGGAGCTGGGCACGTATTTGTGGTGCGCCGTGTGCGCGCGTCGAGGCGTCGTGTGAATGTCTTTCGCATGCAGACGTGGTCGTGTACAGGAGCCNAGGGACGCAGGTATGCAGGTATTTGTGGTGCGTCATGTGCGCGCGTCTAGGCGTCGTGTGAATGTTTTTCGCGTGCAGACGTGGTCGCGTACAGACGCCGCAGAAAGTGGGTTTGTCTGTGGCGATTGGCGTTGCCATTGCTCTGCGTGTTGTAGAGGTGGTCGGACTGCAGGGATGCAGGTGTGGATAGACGTTGTAGCATTTGCACGGATGAAGGCATGATGGGGCGCGGCGAGTGCCTTTCGCGCGCACGCGTTGTTGTGGTGTTCAGCCTGAGGCAGTACGCTTGTTGCTACTCATTACTGGGTGGTTGATGTGCTTGTTGTGACGCTGTTCTAGGTGAGGGCGTGCCGGAACTTGTGTTGTAGCATTGGGACGCATGAAGGTGTCGGGGAGGTTGAGCGTGTGTTGGATGTGCGGCTGGGTGGGTGGTTCAGCCCAAGGGAGTACGTTTGGTAGGGGGGATGAGAATGCGCAGACTGCTGCTTGTTGTTGAGGTGTTTGAGGTCCAGGGAGCTGGGCACGTATTTGTGGTGTGTCGTGTGTGCGCGTCGAGGCGTCGTGTGAATGTCTTTCACATGCAGACGTGGTCGTGTACAGGAGCCGCAGAAAGTGG